AACTTTTCATGAGTTTATAGTGGAATACACCTGCTGTTCTCTCGTGGCTGACGGATTGCCATAAATGGGCTTCAAACTGCCTTCAGCAACAGATATTTATATGCAGTGCCTAGCATGTGAAAGAGATTTAATATGAAGAATATTTATATGTAGGTACTTAGAAAGTTAATGGAAAGATTCATACATATTGTCTTTTAATTCTATTTTTCCACGAGCTTTTTGAAGTACCCTAGTATATGGAACGTGGAGTTTAAGCTCTCGTGCATTTTATCTGTGCCTTCTTGTTATATCCTTTATGCTGCTTTTAGATTTCTCCATCTGCATCTTAACCCTGATCCGTCCACACTTCTGCTCAGATCTCTGCAAGGATTCACTATTGCCTGCTGAATCCAGCCCAGATACTCACATTCAAGGTCATCCATAATTTAGCCTCACTTTACTTTTCCAGCCTCATTGCCCTCTCCTCCCTCGACACACCTTGAGTCTCAGCCAAAGAGCATGGTTAGCCTTTTTCAAAGGTGCTCTGGGCTCTCCTTGTTGTGTGCCTTTGCTGCTACCTGTCCTCCACCAGTGCTGACTTTGTGCCCTCTACAGTTCCCCCAAGATGGCATCCGTGTTCCCGAGCAAACTTTTATAATTGTCCATTTCTGACAGTTCTCATTTTGTTACAAAGTTACCTAAGAAGAAGATGTTCAGGCAGCTCTGTAAAAGTAGAAGTTGGCAGTCTGTGTCCTATTGACCACACTGGGAAAATCAAGAGGCACACTTTGAGGAGAGGTGTTCTGAAGGACCGAGACCTGGCGGGGATGCTGCCAGGGTGCACACAGCCTAGAACTGCTCGTTTTGCGTGTCGTGGGTTCGGCCCTGTCTGTCTGGGTGCTGTTGGGGACTTTCACTGCATAGTTGCTTCCTTGTAGATGAAACATTTGGATGGTGAGCATGGCAGGAAGTTGAACTAATTTATGAAAACCAGTGGGTTGTATGTTGTGTAGGGTGGGGGTGGGGTCTGTGTGTGTTGGTGGAAGAAAACACTAGTTCTTATCAGGTTTGATTCAACAGCATTCCCAATAACACAGCAATACCGTTTTTCAGGCACTTAGTTGGCATAAAAATGCTTTCTGCTTTCTGGGCTTTTACAAAAAAACACTGACTTGGGCTAAGGGTAGTAATCTTAGTGAAAGTAGCTACGTTTATCATGTGCTTACTCTGCAGTGAGCTCTACATGCAGCGCCTCGTTTAGTCCTTCAGCTGTGTAGAGACGTGATTAGCGGACTTTAGAAATGAGGAAACCAGCGAGAGGGGTCAGGGAGCTTGCTCAAGGTCCTACAGCAGAGCCTTTTCTCCAACTCAGGCTATCAAAGACCGAAAGCTCATTTACCTAAGTAACATACCAATCTGGCACCACATGGATAAAGCAGGAATCTGCTGATTTTGTTTGTGCAAAAATGCAAAGATTTGTCTCCCCAATCTCTGCAAGTGTGATGGCTTGTTTAGGAAGATAGGGCATGTGTTTTGGGACTTCACATGTCCCTGGGATATATGTACATAGCTTTACATAGCTCCTTTTTGTGAGTGCCTGGTTCTTGTGCTGGATATCTAAATGATCAAATTAGCTAAAACTGGGATAGTGCTAACTCTTTTTTATATCAAGTCTTCTCTACGTGAGGAGTCCTGACGTTGGCATGCAGGACGGCTCCTTCTCACAGAACTCGACAGAATTGCTGTCAAGTTAATAATGCGTGTAGTCATTGTCATAATTATCATACCTTCATATTTTACAAGATAGAATTCATAAATTTACTTTGGTTTTTAAAATTTTTATAACTGTGTTAACCGTTCATGTTACTGTTAAGTTAAAAAATAAGTGGTTTCCTTTTTTTAAAAATTGCTTTTCAATTTTGGTTTCCTTTGGTGAGCTGAGTGTGAGTCTCAGAAAACAAGTGCCTGACTCTTTGCGGTTATGTTTGAATGGGACCAAAGATGACTTCCCTGAACATTTTATACATTTGAGGAATATCTTGCTGAAGGACCGAGAAATGAGGTTATCACTCTGCTTTTAAGGAAGCACCAAAGCAGTCTAGGTTTTTGTGTCTCTCTTGGGCTCATTTATCTATCAGTCTTTTCTGAATATCTCAGAGCAATTACTGTGGACATGGGATTTTCCTTAATATAATTTTATTTGTTTTTAATAGAGGAAATGCATGCTGAAATCTGTTATGCCGAGTGTCTCCTGCAGAAAGCAGCACTCACGTTTGTGCAGGTAATGAACCTTGGGCTTAGAATTGGTATTAGCTGGGAAGACTGGCAGTACTGCATAGAAAAGTGTGGCTTATTCTATGCTGGTGCTTCAGTTCTTTTGACTTCGAGTGGTAATGGAATATTTTTTATTCTGATAAAATTTGGAAAAAGACTCCAGAGAGCTTTATTCCTACTCAAATGGACTTAGAGTCTATTTGGAATTTTCAGTCTACTGGGAATGACTGCCTTTTAGAGAAGCTGCCTTGTAACTGCCACAGCTGCTTGCAGGGTGCTTCTGCGTGACAACCGTGAGATGATTCATCCTTGTGCTTGCTGATGGTAGAGAGCCGCACACAGGCACTGCCCAGGCAGAGCAGGCATCTTAATTCTTGGCCATTCCTTTCTTGCAC